AAATAGGCCTGATTGCCACCTGAGCTGACAGCTCCCAACCCAGGTTGATAAATGATTCATTTCCGTCCTGGAATTTGAGAGCCTTTCATTATGATCCTTGTAACTCAGGATCTGTACAGTTTAATCTGCCCTGTGTGTTTAACAACTGAACTTTATTATCCAGCTCTGAAAAAAATTGAATCAGCAGTGCAACCTCCGCACTGCTGGTGTCATGACACAGGCATCCTGCTCCTCCTTTTTGGAAAGAAGTATTACCGGTTGGTTGGCTTAGCTGGGTGTGTCCCCATCCTGAGTCACACTGACTGAAGGTGAAGCAGTGCATCTCAAAAGCATTCTGCATCTTGTTAGTTTGTTCTCTCTCTCTCTCTCTCTCTCTCTCTCTCTCTCTGGCTCTCTCTTTCTCTCTCTATCTCTGTCTTTCTTTCTCTCTCTCTCTCTCCCTCTCCCTCTCTCTCCCTTTTTTCATCTCTCTCTCTCTCTTTCTCTCTCCCTCTCCCTCTCCCTCTCTCTCTCCCTCCCTCCATGGTCCCTATATAACCTAGACTGGTCTCAAACTCATGATCTACCAGCTCTGCCTCCTGAGTGCTGGGGTTATAAGTGTGCCACCACAACTGCATTTTGTTCTTGAATGAAAATTATTCCTGAGATGGAGAGAGAGGGTGATCAGGGCAGGGTAGTCGGCTATTGCCCAACAGTAGGAGTACCACCTGCTGTGAAAGATGAAGGCATTGTAGGGCAGCTTGGATGGAGATTTCCAGATGTGTGCCATGGTCTTGTTTCTTTTTCTTATGGTGCTGGAGATGGACCCAGCCTTACTTGCCACTGAGCTGCAGACCAGCTATTCTGCAATCTTCAGAGCATAATGACCAGTGCTCTCCAGTCTGTTGAGGCTGGAAAAAGGAAATGAGTCTGCTCCTGAGTGGTATGTGGTGACTGCTGGCCCAGGGGAAATTCTGCTTTTTGGGCAGTGTCACCCATCTGAACTGTGGCAGAGACCCAGGCAGAAGGCCCTGAATGGCCTCTGTCCAGCCAGAGTTGTCTCAAAGGGTATGTACAAATCCCTTGATAGTTTCTTTTGTTTTGCAGATCATTCTGACACAGTTGGCTCTTTGTTTTCTAAGTATCTAGCAGAATCAGCACTGCAGACAAGGCAGGAAGAAGTAGCCACCACCCAATCAAGACGCTTGGGGAGTGGGGAATGTGTACACACACACACACACACACACAAAACTGGGCATGGTAATGCATGTCTGTAATCCCAGCACTCAGGAGGCAGAGGTAGGAGGATCACGATCATAGTCCAAGGCCAGCTGAGGGCAAAAATTTGAGGCCCTATTTAAATAATAAGCTAAAAGCAAAAAGGACTGGGGACATGGCTTAAGAGGGAAGCACTGAGCATAGACCCTCACTACCTCCAAAACCAAACCAAACCAAACCAAAAAAAAAAAACCTTGAAGAAATGCTATCCTGAGCCCATAGTGAAGGTTGGAGGGGGCCTGTGACATTACTGAATCATACCTTAATAATAATTCATGTACGTGTATATTTTTGGCAATACTGGTGTTTCAACTCACTCTACCACTTGAGCCACTCCACCAGCCCATATCACACACACACACACATTTATGGATTTTTTTTTTTGGCAGTACTGAGGTTTGAACTCAGAGTTTTACACTTGGTAGGTAGACTTTATTTTTCAGATATGTTATTTTGCAGATAACATAGGTCTTGCATTTTTACCTGAGCCAACCTCAAATGAGATTCACTCTACACCTTGAGCCACTTCACCAGCCCTCTTTTGTGATGGATTTTTTTCAAGATAGGGTCTCAAACTATTTGCCCTGGCTGGCTTTGAACTAGGATTACAGGTGAGAGCCACCAGCTTATATTTTTGATGATGGGCTCTTTTGAGAGAGTTACAGATGGCTTATTATACAAAAGCAGTGACATTTGTGTTACATTTTGATGAATTTTGTCAAGAATGGTTGTGCTAGAGGAAGTTGATACATTCATAAAATTATTTGTAGATGATAATAGTTCCCTGTTTTAATTTATTCTTTTTGTTGTTGAGATTAAGCATCTTTTCATTTTTTGTGTGACTTACCTGTTGCTGTATAGGGCTGTTACTTTTTCTTATGATGTGTAAGCACTCTAGTGTTAGAGACAATAACCTTTGATCTATTATATTTGGGCTTGCTAGCAAGCACTCGATCACTTGCGCCACTCCCCTATTCTTTTTGCTTTATGTTATTTTTCAAATAACATAGGTCTTGCATTTTTTCCTGAGCCAACCTTGAATGAGAGTCACCCACCTATGCCTCCCACATATCTCAGACCACAGGTACATGCCACCATACCCAGCTTATTGGTTGAGATGGGGTCTTAGTGACTATTTGCCTGGGCAAAGATCTCAAACTGAGATTTTACCAATCTGTGTCTCCTGAGTAGCTGAGATTAAAGGCGTGAGCCCCCTCCTCCCACCCCATGCCTCACCCTGATTTTTTTTTTCTCCCTGGAGATTAGATGATGAACTAGAAAACTATCCCAGTGCCCTCCCTCCCTCCAGGCAGAGTGGTCTGGTTGGCATATTAAAGAAACTATTTGCTGGCAACAATTAAAACAAAACAACTTGGGTTAAGTGCAAAACTGGTAAAACAAGAAAGGTAGTTTGGGGGCCAGCTGCATTCTGTAGGAAAGGTAAGGTGCTAGAAACACAAATCCTCTGCCTAGAGCAGGGGAAGCACAAATTTAAACTATTACCAGGGCCACCATGTGCTTGGGAAATAAAATTGTCCTTTGGTCCTCCCACTAGAGTTCTCTTTTCCACCTGTTCACTCAAACAGATGAAAGAAAGAAAGAAGTGGGGTCAGTCTTGTCTCTATTACTGTGTCTGAGTTCCCGCTCTGGGCAAGTCCCATGGCTTTTCTGTGCTTGGTGTCCTTGGACCGCCCCAAAGACAGACATAAGGCCTTTGGTGGGTGGCAGGCCAGGGCCTGCCCACAGTCAGAGCACCTGTGGGCAATAGAAGTGAAGGGCATAAGCCCAGAGTGGTTAAGTCACTTGACCAAAGGAGCTTAGAGTCAAACCCAGGACTGACTGGCTCAAGCACTGGGTCTCTCCCACTAATTACAGGCAGCCTGCTTCCAGATGCTCCCAGACTCACTATGGTGTGTACACGTACAGTTCAGAGTTGCACACAGAAGCGCTTTTCCTGCCTGCAGCTCTGCTGTCTGTGGCACAGAGGTAGATGCTGGGGGCTATGTCACCCTCTCAGCTTCTGCAGGCCCCAGCCTCAGAGCACCCTTCAGCCTCTGCTCTCTCCCCCTGCAGTGGAGCAGAAGCTCTGGCCAATACAGCAGCCACAGCACACAACAACGGCTGCTGTTGGGCCCAGCGCCTGCTGACCAGGGCATCCGCGTGACCCTCATAGCACACTGTCAGGAGAACCAGAAACAAAAGGCCTTTCTCCTGCCAGCAGGGCAGGCCCCCTCAGAACTGCACCAGGTCTGTTCCAGAGCCAAGGAAGCGAGCAGCATTTCTCCACCTCTTTAAAATGCACGTGGAATAACCTAAGTCCTTGAGAAAAGCTGACAAACCACCTGCACAGGCTGCCCAAACTGTCATCAAGCCCTGGGTTTGAATCTTCTCCCTTTGAAGACTGTGGCTGATCACACAGTAGTCATGACCATCAAGGCCAGCACTCCAGGCAGCACAGCCTGCCTCTCCCCAGCCCTGCATGAGGCATTCTGATTTTACAGGAAGGCCCGAGTCCCTTCTTGTATCTTGTGCCATCTTGGTTGGAAGGGTGGAGAAAAGGAGCCTGCCAGGACAGTGCACTGATAGAGCCTACATTCCCCCAAGTCTGCTGCTCACTCATTCACTCCATAGATGTCATTTAGGCTCCCAAGGGCCTTGGACTGAGGTGGATGTTGGCATAGCAGAGAACCACGGCCATTGGTCCCTGCTATCTTAGAAGTCAACTCTGGTGGGAAAGATAGCCAGTAAACCCAGCATTCCATATGACAGGCTGACATAGTGAGATGAACTTGGAGGAAAAAGCAGAAGGGAAGCCAAAAACACCTAACATTTTTTTCCAGAATTGTCTACGAAAAACTTCAAACATTCAGCAAAGTTAAAAGAATTACAATGAATCCTTGTACACCTTACCCCCGAGATTCTGTGAGGCCGTGGGACTCTGCATCAGGCTTAGCAAGCCCATTTCTAGGCTCAGCACAGAGGACAGTGAGAGGTGGAGGGCAATGCCACTGCCATCCTCAGGCCCCACTCAGTGTTCCTGTGGCAGCCTGCCAAGACGGAAGGAAGAGGTGAGACAGGCAGCAGACTCCTCACATTTCATGTGGAGCCCAGAGTTCCAGGCACGCCATGGCCAGGCACTTTCTAGGTCTACATTTCATCAGCTCAAGGTGTCACCTCTTGTACCATCCTCCATTATATCGTGGCTCACTAAGAAAGGAAAAGTGCCTCCATGTAAGAACACAGCCATTCCAGAGATGAACAGAATATGTCTTAGAACTGTACTGTGACAAGTCAGGCTTGTCACACCCCTGTGGTGGGTTAACGTGAAGCTCAAGCTGAAGGGATGTGCCCAAGCCCATCCTGCCAGTGTGTACAGAGCTGGGAGTCAAACCCAAGTTCATGTGGGTATCACATGAGAAGGTAGAGAACATTTCTGCCATTGCAGAAAGTTTTCTTGGAGTGCTACACTGTATAGAGAAAGCAGTATAGACAAAAGGGTTTGTCTCTTAGATATTTCATTTGCATTTAAAGCCTCTGTTAAAATCTAAAGTTAGAGCTTGGTTTCACCTGGAGCTCCACACTCCCCAAATTTACTTATTCACATGTAGCACCTGTAAACAACTCTGGCTGCCCCTAAACACACTGAGTGATCTCCCCTAGGTCCCCAGTCCTCTGTGGCCCATCATGGTCCTGAATATCACTCTTGTTGGGAATCTAAATCTCCTTTCTTATTTTGTCCCCAGATTGCCTTGGCTCCCCAGTGTTTACACCCATCAAGGCAGACATAAGTGGCAACATCACGGTACGTACTCAGTACACACATCGGGGTCTGAATCTGCCTTTAGCTGCAGCTCCGCAACCCAAGGAAGGAGGAGGAGACAGAAAAGACTCATGGCCCAGCTCCACCTCTTCTTTGCAATCGTGGCTTCTCATCTTGGCCTGACGGGACATCTGGTTCTGTCACCCACCTCCACAACATAAGTAAACTGCGAAGTCCACAGGTGGCACTGGCCTGGCTCTTTCCACTTTCCCATTTGTTCTAAGTGTGGAGGGCTGCGGACTCGTTTCTTCAGCCAGTGGCCCTTTGAGGCTATTTCTGCCATTATCCTCTTCTCAAAGATGAGGGGGCTGAGGTCACACAACGATAAAGTGGCTGAGCTGGGATTTACACTCAGGCCATGCTGGCACCAGTTCAGAGGCCTTTGTGCCTGGCTGTCTTTGAACCCCCCAAGAACCTATGTCCAGTCACCCAAAGTGCAACTTTGGGGCCTTGGTGTCCCCGGCAGTGTCAATAGCACCTAGAGACCATGGCCTCTGGAGCCAGCTGGACTGGGGCCCTCTCCCACCTGGGTCAGCTGTGGTCTGGGGCACATCCCCGCCCCTCTCTGAGCCTCAGGACCCTCATCAGTAGACTGAGTAACAACAGAGAAATAGGGTTGCCATGAGGACCATACAAGACAGCGTCTGTAAAGCACTTGGTATGCCGTGGCACTGGATAAATGTGAATACTTGAGTAGGTTTTCTGTTAGGATTAGTCTTGTCCCTACTTTTCCTGGCAGACAGGAAGTCAGAGGTGCCAGTGGGGTATTCCTCCTCCCAGCGTGCCAGGCTGCTGTCTGTGGGGCAGCCTTTCCTATGCAGGAACTCCCTGTGCTCCATTTCAGAAAATCAAAGCCGTGTATGACACCAACCCGGTCAAGTTCCGGACCCTGCAGAACATTCTGGAGGTGGAGAAGGAAATGTACGGAGGAGAATGGCCCAGAGTAGGAGCTACACTGGCACTGATGTGGCTGAAAAGGTGATGGAGTCAGGGGGCTAAGCCTGGAGACCCTGCACTGCAGAGGAGGGACACAAACCCTGCCAATAACAGCCAAGAAAAACCTCCCAAGGGTCAGAGTCGGCCTGATGATGACGCTTCCTTGCTCCAGTCCAACGAAGGCAGAGCAAGCAAGTGTGTTCTCCGTCCAAGGCCTTGTGTTAAGCTGTGCATGCACCCATCCAGTTTCCCAGGCTGTGAGTCAAGTGTGGTGACTTTCCCCATCTCAGAGGAGGCGTTACAGGCTTCTCGAGGCCAAATCACGTGCCCAGCTCATCTGAGCACAGTTGTGCAGGTTGTGTGCTGCACAGAGGTGTCCTGTTTAGAGCTAGTCACATTACACACAAGACACATTTGTCTTGACAGAAATACAGCATCTTGAGGAGAAGGCACTCTGTCAAATTTGCACACATGTGCAAATTCCCTTTGGGCTGGGAATGAGATGTTGCTTTGAATCCACTTGGTTCTCTACCGGCTCCAGAATTCTCCTCTAGTCAGGTAATGTCAGCAAACTGCTAAGAAGCCAGGGACCATTTCCCACCCCACAGGTGTTCCTCCAGGGAGGCCAGGACCAGGAAGGGCAGCTCGTCCTGTCTCACCCCTTGTCCACTTCAACCCCCTGGCTCAACACATACAACTTTGGAGAAATGGATCAAGGAGAGTTGCTCCAAGAGGGTGAGGCCAGTGGGTGTCCACGCAGCGGGCTGTAATTAACACCCTCACGGCATGCATCAGCACTTGTCCTTGCCAAGCTGCCTGCCTTTTTCTGTCAGCAAGACTTGAGCCATCCACCCAGCAGGTTCCATGGGTTTCTTGGGAAGATCAAGACAGGTGGTGACATTCTGATTGTTAGATTGTTCATGCCCAAATCACACACGGGCTGGGCTGGTGACTGGAAAGGTGGATGCTGGGCTCTGTGATTGCCCGCAGGTGGAGGGTGTGAGGAGCATCTGCAATGTGTCATGCACGGGTGGGCATGTGGGGTGCTACGTGGAACCAGGCCCGGTTCAGTGGCCTCTCCTGCTGTGTCACGGTTTGGGGAAGGAATCAGACATATGGGCAGACCTTGGAACAGAAGCAGATGGGGAAGGCTGCCTGGAGGTAGCACCCAGGCCAGGTCTCCAGGACAGATCAGGAGAGTCCAGGCAGATGAAGGCATCGGGCCTCACAGAGGTGGGAGAGAAGAGGCTCAGCACCCATGGCTTCCCACAGGTCTGCTGCAAGTGTGAGGCTGGAGCAGGGAGAGATGGCATGATTGGAAGAGGAGGAACGTCAGCCTAAGCAGGTTCCTGGGGAGCTGCTAGGACAGAAAGCTGGTTTAACCATGGGCCAATGGAGGTTTGAGGAGAATCATCCTGGCTGCAGATGGAGGAGGACTGTGGGAGATGGGAGAGGAGGATCAGGCTCCAAGAGGCTTCTGACCCAGTTGTTAACACCATGCCCCAGACTGATCCCTGAGGCTCTTGGCTCTGCTCCAAGCATGGAAGACTTGCCTCAACTTAAGAGTGAGGAGTTGGTGAGGGGCAGTAAAGACAGAAGGCCAGCTGGGCATAGGAGGGGGTGAGAGCTAGGTGAGAGTCTTTGGGATGATCCTCTAAGTTCCTCTGGGCTGGGCTGGTGGTGCCCAGCCTGGTTGCATAGGGTTGAGGGGAGCAGGACCCAAGACGCTGTGTACCAAAGGGCTGGCACTGATCACATTTTCTACTTGGGCTTCTTACAGACCCTGAACCCTTGAGCACTTGAGGAGGGGGCAAGTGGCACAGGAGCATGCATGCCATGCTGGGGGAAGGGGGCTGTCATGTGGTCTCAGCAGAAGGCCAGTGTGGCAGATTTAGAAGGATCCTTTGGTGTCAGGGTGGAGACAGTAAGCCTGGGCAAAAGTCAGGAAGGCCTGTCAGTGTGCTTGCTGTGTCCCTGGCCTGCGAGCCCTTTGAGAGCCAGTACTGTGGCTTCATGCCTCAGGCACTGGTGGCTGCTGGCCACGCGTTAGCCTATGAGAGACCATGGGGACACACAATTGGCCAGGCCAGCCTTGACCTCGTGGATCTTATACCCAACAGCAGGCACGGTGGGGAGAAGGCGCTCAGGAGATGTCCAGATGGGCAGGGGACCTTTCTGTTCCTGAGCAGAAGGCCTGGGAGGTGCCGCTCAGGGATAACACTGCCCTTTGTGAACTCATTCCCAGCTAATAGCTGTGTTTAGTTCAGTGTGCACCAGGGTCCCCACGATGGGTGTGTGGCTTGTGGCTCCTAAGAGCCATCTTCTCTCTGGTATAGAGGCCTGCGCTTCATCCAGGTCTTCCTCCAGAGCATCTGTGATGGAGAGCGGGATGAGAACCACCCCAACCTCATCCGTGTCAATGCCACCAAGGCCTACGAGATGGCCCTCAAGAAGTACCATGGCTGGATCGTGCAGAAGATATTCCAGGTAAGCCCCCTACAAGGCCAGGAGGTCACCTTGCTCCCGCTCTGCCACTTCCTGGCTGTGGCTTCTTAGAGCCGTGTCTACCCTGGGCTCAGAAGGGCTCACCTGTCCATCAGTGGTGGTGCCGCTGCTGCTCGATAGGTGCCTCAGTCTGTGAGGCCTACCTGGGGCTGTGAGAGAAACCATGGCAAAAGCCTTTGGGGACTGTAGGTTGCCTGTGACTGGCCTCATTGGCCCCTCAGATTCAGCCTGGATTCTCACACCGGACAGAAAGGAAGAAGGGCCCTTGTCCCAATGGAGACATCTGTTGAAAAGACTCTGGCCTGTGGGATTTTTAGTGACCTCTGTTGGGGTGATATTGAGCAGGCTTTTAGAAATGGGGTTTTAGCACCAGCCTAGTTAGCTGAGCGTCCCTAGGGCCAGCAGGCTGAGATGCCCACTGGGCAGATGGCAAAAGACCCTCAGGGTACACTGCATGCTGTTGCCAGCCACATGCCTCTCATCACCCCTGTCCCACTCAGCATGGGCTTGCCCAGTCAGTGCTGCCGCTCCCACTGCCTGCCTGCTCTCACTGCCTTGAGAACCAGGACGTGACGGCTGGTCTTATCACCACAAGTCCCAGGGTAAGAACAGGCAGGGTTAGGAGCCAGGCTGGTTCCAGGAAGCGCTGGTCATCAGGGTGGGAAGCATGGCCACATCTGAGCCATCTGTGCTGGCATGGTTGCGACAGGCCTGTGTGGGGTGGGGTCACCTTGAGCACCTACCCTCCCTGCAGTATGTTTCCTCTTACGCAGGCGTTGCAACTGCCCCTCAGTAATGATAGCATCCGCATGCCAGGCCATGAATCATAATCTGCACCAGTGCCCTGCGAGGTGGGTGCTAGTTTCACCATTTCACAGATGGAGACAAGGTCCACAGTATGAAAGAGGAAGCTGGGGTGGGTGCCGTGGTGTGTGCCTGTAATCCCAGCTACTCTGGAGTCTGAGGCAGGAGGATTAAGTTCAGGAGTTTGGGCCCAGCCTGGGCCACATAGCAAGACCCTGTCTCAAAAGTAAAAAATGAGGAGGTGTGGCTCAAGTAGTGGAGTGCCTGCTTTGCAAGCAAGCACGAAGCCCTGAATTCAAACTCTCGTCCCACCAAAAAAAAAAAAAAAAAAAAAAGGGCTGGG